ATGGATGGATGGATGGATAAAAAGTTTAAAATGTTTGTACTGATTTATTTGCAATATAAATAAAAACTACAGAAGAGTCTGCAACAACTAGTCAATAAAATGTATAAAAACATATAATAATGATAGTTGGCAACAAATCTGATTGTGGGTTAGTTGGGTCTAGTCATGTAGCTGTGTGAGACGAGTGAGTGAGGGGTATAGAAACGTTTGAAAAAGGGTGGAAGCTGTGGATAGTAGTGAGCATGGTTACAGCAAAGTGGATGACCAAAGTCGTCTAAGGTTTGGGAACACTGTCAAATATGCAAAACCTATCTGTTGTGGCATGGGAGCATGATGCTAATCACATCCAACACCCGTGAGTCTGGTCAGGACACCTACAGCATCTACATTTTCACTGACACCCATATTCTGGTCAAAGTGATGTGGTGACCTAGTGCATGGAGTCTTATCTTCAACATTTGAGAGCCAGTGTTGGCGTACTTATTTAGAAATAACTGGTTGAATAGCTCAGCCAGCCAAAGGAAGTTTTTACAATCTGGCAACACAACAGATGTCATAATTAGTGCTTTGAATACTTCATTATATTTACTCATTAAGTACCAGTTTATAATGCAGATGGGGGGCAGGTTTAGTTAGTCTATGGCGCCCTCTAGTGACCGAGAAGAGACACAAAGGAGCGATAGCAGTGTTTACTTATTTCCTGTCCGTTTATTGGATATTGGTGTATTTATTCCGCCCGCTGTCATTTTTATTCAATATGTTTTGGCACCGTGCTCACTTTAAGTCCAGGGCTGCAGTAAAGTAAAGTGAAATGAGACAGAGAGACGGCAGGGCGTCAGACCGAGACTCATTTGGTTTTGGGGGATAAAAAGTTCAAATGTGCTCAGGGCAGGCAGGAGTACGGGGAGGACGGAGCAGAGCAGCCAGCGGTCGGTGTGTGGACTCTGCGCTCCGACAGACGGAGCCACACGGAGCTGCAGGGAGGACGGGTCTGTGCCTCTCAGTCATACCGAGGCTTTAGTAAAAAGTGAGCCGGTGAAGATATCATGGTTGTGTCTATGCGGAGTTGGGTCGCCAACGAGGGAGGAAAGCACTTGGTCCTGGTGGGGAAACAAAACTTTTCTCAGAGATTTTTAAGCTGTACATCTTCTTTCTTATCATAGGCTGATGATATATATATATATATATGTTTACTTTACCTGGTAGCGAGTTTTCGCCGCTTGTTTTTTCAAGACAATTCGCAAATTGTTTTCAGGACGTCCTGTACCACCTTCCACCTTTGTGAGGAAAAGTCACTAAAACAGGCGCTAAAAGAACTGACGGCTTATTACTAAACCAAGCTTTACATTTTGTTGGAGCTTGATAAGTTAAGTAGCCTATATCCCACATGAAATGCTTATTCTTGGACAGTTAACTGCCATGGATGGGTTACTGAAGGGGGCCAAGGGATCAGGGGCCCCTGAACCTGAGCACCTATGGTGGCTGTTACATTTATTGTTGGAAGGTAAATCAAACCACTAAAAAGAGACACACAACAAGTATGGCTAAAAGGAAATGAAAACTGATCAAAGAGAGACACAAAATGACAGCAAAGAGATGCAAAACACACGAAGTGTAAATAAAATAAGATGCAGTGTGGCCGCAATTAAAAATGGATGCAAATGATGATCTCAGAATTACAAAACTATAAAAAAGAGACAGAAAATGACCACAGCGCTTCTCTTTCAGTCTGGGGGGTCTTGCTCCTCTGTAGGAAGGTGGGGGCCATTTACATCTCTGTGCCCAGAGGCCCGGTATCTCGTAATCCGTCTGTGCCATTAGCCCAGCAGACACATCAGAGATAATGTTTCTGTTTTATTGTTAATTACTCACAGTGGCTCGATGATGAACATAAGACTGTATCTTAGACTACAGTGTATATCCTGTGTGGTTTGTGGATGACGTGTGTTTGTGTGTAGATGCTGTGGCTGGGAGCGAATACCTGGCTGTTCGTAAAGACCTTCCTGCTCTACTCGACTGGACAGCAGTACCACTACCTCTACAAGATGCTCGGGGTAGGGCTAATCATATTATCATGTAGCATGGATCCGCAGTGAGTCATGTCATGCTTTCCGGTGGCTGGCCAGGTGACAACAATCACACTGTACGTTTTCATCAGCTCAAGCTTAAAATGGTGATAAAACCCACTGCTGTATTA